ACGAAAAAATAATTTGGCTGTTTTTAACTTTTTATAATACTGTTGCGTCAGCGAGTCACATGACCACTATGGCGCCCTCTAGTTTCTCGAACTATCTTGTTCTTTCAGGAATGCTCAAGTAATTGCTAGATATAGGGTAGGCTGGTATATAAAAGAAGGTGAGGTAATGTGTGGATAGACAGTGAGTAATTGAACTGCAGTCAGAGAGAGACGTATTGTTGTAGTTAACGTTCGTTCGTTATAGTGTTGTTTTAGCGCGAGTATTGAGATTAAGTGTATCGCAGAGTTATATTCGGAAAGAATAAACCAGTTTTATTAAGTAAAGACTTGTGTCGTTAAAATTTCGTCGGAACGAAGTTACGGAAAAATCAATTAACAAACGGAGACGTAACACCGGTTTTTAGCGTTCAAATCCACAAACATACCTCTGTACCACTGGGGGTGGGGGAATTTCAATGAAGAAAAGATAACGTAAAGGCTTAATCTATTCTTTGATTTGTTACTTCCGCTGCAATAGGCTAGTTTTTCTGAATTGAAATACAACCGATCAACTGAAGATACCAAGAAAATATAAGAAAAATGTGTGGTTATATAATTTGTTTTGAAACTGAGTTAAAATTAAAGGTATTATTTTAAATTTCATGTGAATCACTTTTTTATTTTAGTTTTTAAGTAGTTAGTTAGTATTATATTTTAACTAATCCGAATAAGTGACGATCGCTGTATCAAATAGATAAAACTAACACTAATACTGAATAAGCAAATAAATTCGGACACGAATTAGTAAGAAGAGAAATTTAAACAGCTTCAGGAAGGTTAAAAATATTAAATAGTAAGAAGAGAAAAATACACAGCTTCAGGAAGGTTGAGAACTTGTGCTTCTACAGGTATTTAACGTTCTAACTTAGTTTAAGCTATGTAAGTAAGTGCTTTTGCTTGTATTATATTTTAAGAGGTATTTTTAATATATCGAACGCAAGAAATTAACTAGTTCAATTTGGACAATCGTAACTAACGTTAATACTAACTCGGTAACTGTTGTTGTTATTAACATTAACAGTACACATTGTTGTATTACTTGTAAATGTAAGTTGTTTGTATAACTTATAGTTATATTCATAAGTGTTGTATAATTATAAATAATAAAGTTAAAAGTAATACTTAACGTTCATATACAAATTACAATCATTAAACAGTTGGTCCGCTTGATAATATCGAATAATGAATGCGACGAAATGTCGTAACATTATTCACATATCTAAAAGTAAAATTGTAAAATGTGGCTAAATTAATTTTGGTGAAGTAAAACTAAATCGGACACAAATCCCCATAGATTATTATTAGATACCATGCAATGTTAATGTTAGTACAATATGTGTAGTACTACCAGTAGTATACTGTACAGACTACAGCGTAAAATTTTGAAACTTTTCTGTTGACGGTTGTTGTTTACAAACACACTGTCACTGTGTCAGTGTCAATGAGATTTGGAAATATTAACTTGATTGTGTATTTTAATATACTTTACATATTTAATCATGATTAATAATGCCTGTGAATGTGATAACTATTCATATGGAAACCATCTTTATAACTTATACGTTATAATTATATGTCAGCGTCACTGTAAGTTATAACTTGTTAGCCTAGTACTATTATTAGTAGTTGTAGCATTAAAAACCAAACTGATCAAACTTAAAATTTAGATCTACATCTACTATTTTTAATTACTTATAAAATTAATAAGTGCCAGTTAGCCTAGGCTACATAATACCTTGTTTATCACTGTGTATAAACAACTATACTATTTAGGAAAACACATAACATTAAAGGATAACAGGGACCTTTTGATCCATTTAGGCTATCCTATCTATTAAATTCAACTCAATGCCAGACCTTATCATTCAAATACTTTCCTGTAAACTCCCTTAAGACTTAAGTTAACTATATCTACTGCATTTGAAGGCACCCCATTCCAGAGGCTAACCACATCGTTAAAAAAATATAATTATTTTAACTGAAGATGACTCCTTCCCTGCCAAAACTTATAATTGTGACCTTTAATACTGTCAATGTCATACTTATTATTGAGTATGAAAAATGATGATGCAGCAATACTATCAATTTCTTTAATAGTCTGAAACAACTCAATCAGATCTTCTTTGTTTTAAGAGAAAAATTCAGATATCTTAACCTATCTACATAATCATATCACAACCTTTCCATTCCAGTATCATCCTAGTATTAGTCCTTCTCTAAACCACTTCCAAAAGTGTAGTGTTCTTTTAAGGTCAGGATTTTAAGACTGAACGACTGTAGATGTAGCCTAACTAATGATCTACGTAATACACAGTGACATTGAACCTCATCAGATTTGCATTCTTTATTTCTGTAGATACAACCTAAAATACTCTTTTGTCCTGCCTCTAGCAACAGCACATTACTTGGATGGTAATGAACTGATGAACCAGAACATCAAGATCTTTTTCTTCCATAACCAACATGCATTACTTTGTATTTATTATTATGTATCTGCAGAAAGACATACTATTTTTCTATTGTTTCTTCTACTTCTTTTTTCATCCAAACACTTTTTAATCAATTGTCATTCCTTCATTTCTTGGCATTTTGACTTGAAACTTAGTAGGGTTATACCTTGGTCCAACACACCCAAACACATTTTTAATTTTTTTGATTTAGGCCTTTTTTAAGAATTTTATGGGGTCAAAAGTTAAACAACCCAAAAATATATGTTTTGGACTTCTGTGTGCAGATATTTATTGCAATCCATAAGAAAATTTGCACAAATATAAATTTTAATGCACCCAATACATTGATGCCCATTTTCAGTTTTTTTTTTTTTTTAGGGAGGTTCTAGAGATCACAAAAAAACTATTTTGGGCTTTGGTCTATTGGCTATATTTTAACCAATTTGCATGGGATTTAGTATAAAGATACCTTTATGCAAATCTCGCACATTGACAAAAAAAAGATGGTGGAATTGCTCAATGGATCATGAACAGTAATTCACTGGATTGCCCAGTTTCCTTATTCAGGATCATTATTTTCAATCTCGAGGGGTAGTTAGATCAGAATAATACTACAATATGTGTTCTTATGCTGCCACCTCATCCAGACATCCATCTCTTCACATATGCCTCATTTTAGGGATGGGTGCACGTCTCAACAGGCAGGAGTTTCAGGGTCTATGCATGGATTATGAGGTTTCCCTACACAATGTTTTAGAATTTCTTGCTGTTCAAAGAGTAATGTCCCATGGTATGGGCTTGTTAAAGGGAAAATCGTCAGGCTTCACTTCAGAAATTCTACTGTGTTATCTTACATCTTTCCATCAAGGGGCACTTGGTCCAGTACTGTTTGTTTTCGAACCTTGGATCTTCTTTCTTGGGACCACTCCTATCATATAACCCTACTAGCTTGCTATGTTCCAGGGGTATTGACATTGGTGGCAGATCATACAGATTCTCCCAACAGAATGGATGCTGCATCATGAAGTTCTCTGTTGGTTTAGCTCTCATTTTGAAACACTGATAATTGGTGTGTTGGCTACTCATCGGAACACCTAACTACTGGTATTTGGTACCTCACCCTCAGGCTTTGACAATAGATACATTCCATCAGGATGGGACAGGATTACACCTCTAGGGCATTCCACTGATTTGTATGGTATCCAAGGTACTAACTATGATTCGTTCTAACCCAGTGTTAGGTCCTGTTGATAGCACCAGATTGGTGGCTAAACCCTGATTTCCTATTCTGTGCTACTTTCAGGAAGTCCCACGATGGACATTTATCAATGGAAATGGCACATACATATATTGGGAATGGTGTGTTGAGAGGAGGTTGAACTCGCTTCGATCAGAGTGCCAACTGTAACTCATTTTTTATCCTAGCTCTTTGACAATGGTTTTGCATCTTATACAATCATCCTGTATAAGGCAGCCTTATCAAATACCTTTAGATACTCAAGATGAAAATTCTTTGAGTTCCCAGTACTCTCTTGCCTCATCATGTCATTACGGGTCCTTCATTCCAAATGAACAATTCAGTTACCTAACTGATATATAAAGGTGGAATTACATGCCTTTTCATCACATCTGTTTGTACCATGTATCACGTTTCCCTGAAGGTTTAAATTTTGTTGCTGCTAACTTACAGATGTTGTTGGCTGGAGTTGTTTGTGCTGATGCTTTATCATTCTACCTACATCCTCAAACAGGTTCTTGTTCCCTAAAACATTGACAGCCAGAGAAGGAGATATATCCTTTTCTTTAATTCATATGGTTACCTTGTTTTGAACCATATTGTTTATTCTGGGCTCTCATTGGAGGTGAGGAGTCGTCTGTGACTCATGTCTTTTCAGATCATCACATTTCTATGTCTTAGCGGCCTGGTGAAATTGCACACTGGAGGACATTGCATGGGCTAGTATATGGACCTCCTCTGATACTTTTATTTCCCACTACTTGCATAATATGGCAGTATCTTCCTTTGAGGGTTTTCGACTATTCACAGTAGTTATCTTAATCACAGCCAATAGTTTATAAGGAAGTGTGCATATCTTCATTACTAATATTGTCTCTATATTTGCCAGGGTCCCTTACCTTTTTTTCACAGGCTCTCACTCTGTGGCAAGTGTTGCCTAGGCAGGTGTGCTTTTATCAGACCAATTCCACACTAGCAACCACTAACACAATATACCTTATCTAGTTTGCAACAGGCTCTGTAGAAATGGAGTGTTCCATAAGACCACCTTGAGGCTGACCGGGTGGTATCACTGTACTGTGCTAGACCTCCTCTCTTGGACTATCATGGATAAAGCAAAAGGGGATCCTGCTTGTCCCTGCTGATCACTGGATTGAATAAATCTGGATTGTTTGCTTTTAAATATTTAGGAAACTTGGTTCACCTATTGCACTGATTCCAGAGCATTGTTTCTCAGGGCTTTCCAACATGCATTACCCCCAAGATTCTACTAGTGGAGCTTGGGGGTTCTTCCCACACCCAGTTTCCAGTCACTGGAATGGCAGACAGAGGCTTTTTCTACAGTGTTAGTATGAATTTCTTCCAAATTTGGGGGTGCTCTTACACGGGTCCCTGAATGTTTTTTCCCAGATGTTGGTAGGAGAGGCACCAGCCTATGTAGGAGCCTACTTGTAATACCATTTCAGATTTGATGCTCCTTTTTCTGGTTTTATTGAGTGTGGGCCTTGTTTTTAATCAATATTGGTTCAGTACATTGTTCCTGTAAGAGGGTCCATTTTCTCCTTGTAATTCCAAAAGCAGGGTGATCCCATCGTGGGTCCTTGATTAAGCACAGTTTGTTCCACATCTTCTTCATAATTCTGTTTCCTCAGGTTGAGTATGGCCTGCAAGATCCTGTCATTCCGAGGTTGGAGTGTTGACTTTCAGACTTCTTCAGGCTGAGGAGAGGGTTTGTCCACTAGGGGTTGCTTAACTTCTCATCGTGATTCCAGATGCTCGGAACCCATCACTGTATAGTTACTGGTTGGGATTCACTTACAAATATATATATATATTGCTGTCCAAATGTCCTAGCCACCAGTATGGCATTTAGGAATCATGGTCTTATAATTCCAAACCAGAGGAGTAGGACCTTGGCTATCTGGTTGGTTCCTGGCCTATAGTGATGATGGATCATGTCAAATTCCACCCAAATGACACAATTTTGGTTCTGGGTGAAGAACATGCCTGTTCTGGATATAGTGTGGTTCTCCCACTAAGATGCTAAGCTTCCATTGGCACACCCATGATCTAAGCAAATGCATTTTGTATGGATAATGTCCTCAGTGGCCTCTCCACCTTATCAGTATGGGTTTTAAATGTAGTGGGAGACAAGGTAAGT